ATTTTTACCCTTTCTACTTAAATTTTTTTTTCCATTTCAGCTACCTATTGTTCCTTCAGTATTGTATCTTGTGTTGAACAAAGTAGGATAAAGTAATGCTAAGACTTGTTAGACTGTACAAAAGAAGTGGGTTCTGGGGATATGTTAAACCAAGAATGCTTAGATGAAGCATGGTTGTGATTGAAGGCTGGGTGAATGTGGAAAGTTGGGGTGGGTGGAAGGCAACTCACCTCCCAGAATTCAAAGGTAGATTGAGCAGTATTTAATTTATTTCATTCTTTGGTTCTTTAAAATTTAGCTTTAACATTTAATATAGGCAGAGAGAATGTTTATAAGATTTAATTATAGGATTCTCATCATTAGAATCCAGAAGTTTCTTCAATAAATCCTTCAGAAATACTACACTCTGCAACATCCCCAAATTGGGATGTCTTAGTGTCAAAATGTCAGTTCTGGCAGCTAGTTCTTTTTGTTGGTCTTCGTGGTCTTGTTCTTCCTCTTGCTCTTCTTTTTCCATCTCTCCCTCCTTCTCCTCTTTCTTCACAATATTATTAATGGTAGTCTTATACATACATCATCCCAACACCACCAGGGTATCCATTTCCCTTCACCGAGGATCTAAATACCCCTTCTCTTCGACAATCCATAAATGATGTTCTGTGAATCATCTCTCTAGTTCCTTTGGCCATTCATTTCTTCCTTACAATCTGTGTTTAGATTCCACATATGAGAGAGATCATTCTGTATCTCTTTCCTTCTGACTGACTTCACTCAACATGATGCCATGTAGTTCCATCCATAAGACAAATAACATGATTTTTTTTTTCTTTTCTTAAAACTACATAGTATTTCATTGTGTTTAAACAGCATAACTTCTTGACATTTGTAGTTGATCTTTTGGGTTGTTTCCATATCTTGGCTATCATACTAAGAACTTGGCAGCTTCTTCTTTTCTGGTTGTTAAAAAGTAAAGAATTTCTGAATATAACCAGCACACATCATTAGAGATAGATAATGGATGATTCTGGCATGAGGAGACATTTGGAGAATGGTCAGTCTCTGCCTTTGCAATCCAAAAGGTAATATATGAAGGTTGTGGTGAGTTCCAGAGAGGTGATCGCTTGACTCAGAGTTGAAGACCACAGAAATTTAACATGCTATCACAAGTTTGGAATACTGTGTACTTTCATTGCCTCATTGGTTCAGGATTAGAAAATCAAAATGGTAAAAAACCTGGGATGCTAATAATTCAGCATACAAAGAAGGGTCTTTTTGTTTTATTTTGCTTTGGGGCCACGCTCAGTGTTGTTCAAGACTTACTCTTAGCTCCTTGTTCAGGGATCACTCCTGGCAATACTCAGGGTACTTTTTATTTTAATGGAGTACTGCTATTTATTCAGCCATTGATTAGGCTGATTGAATTGGGCATGAACTCCACCTTACTTTTTTTTTCCCTTTTTATAAATTTATTTGCTCGAGGTAAAGGCCCTCCCGTTGATCGTCGATTTGCTCGAGCGGGCCCAGTAACATCTCCATTGGAGATTTTGTTGTTACTGTGTTTGGCATAAATTTATTTATTGAATCACCGTGAGAGCAGTTACAAAGATTTTGGGTTTAAGTTTGGGTCATACAATGAGGAAACACCCATCCCTTCACCAGTGCCCATTTTCCATCACCAAAAACCCCAGTATACACCCCATCCCACACCCTCCACCTACCTATGGGTCAGATGATTTCCACATTACTCTCCCTCTACTTTGATCACATTCAATATTTCGACACCAGACCCACCATTATTCTTTGGGATTTTACCCCAACATTCAGATCTTCCGGAAAGGCAACCATAGACAATTTGTTTTCTATTACTGATTATGAATAACATATGATGTCGCACTTTGGAATTCCAAAATTTTAACAATTAATCTGGAGGAATTTATGCCAAGACCTGCTGGGTTCCGAGATTTGTTCCTGAGTGTCTGGGATCATGGTTGTTAAGCAGCTTGATCGGGAGCCAGAGAGACCGTTCATAGGCGGCGACCAGGGTCTTGTTGGGGCAGTGAGGAAAGGCCTGGCTCCACCCCATCACGTGAGGCCCTGCATGTCTCGTCACTGCGGGCCCAAACCTGACTGTCTAATGGCCTCTGGGGGATGGTGACCACTGAGCCGCCAGGGGGAACAGACAAAGGCACAAAACCTATTCCCACCTGGGATGGCCTGGCACCAGTAACCTACTGCGGGGATTGGATGCATTTCTGTCAAAAGCTGCTGCGTTCCGAGATTTGTTTTTGAGTCTCTTGGATCATGACCATTAAGCAGCTGATCAGGAGCCAGAGAGATCTTGCTTCCAATTATATAGCTGTGCTGGAGGTGATATGTGGGAGTGTCTCCCACATACCTAACTTGTAGCCTTTACTTTCTTGGTAAACTTGGCCTCAAGTTCTTGGGGTCTGACCACAGGCACAGCAGCAATTTTGGGGTATCTAAAAGTCTGAAGGCACCATCAGGCTGCTGATGCATTTGCCTCACAAGTACAGATTGACCCGATGGCAGCACCATACCCCAGAGTCAGGGTACTTTTTAAAAAATGTTTTCAAGGGGCTGGAGCAATAGCACAGCATGTAGGATGTTTGCCTTGCACATAGCTGACCTGGATTCAATTCTCAGCATCCCATATGGTCTCCTGAGCACCGCCAGGAATAATTCCTGAGTGCAGAGCCAGAAGTAACCCTGTGCATTGCTGGGTGTGACCCGAAAAGCAAAAAAAAAAAATTTTTTTTAATGTTTTTAAAAAACATTTGCTCAACACAATGCTTCAAGTTCTAGATCCTGGGATCAGATGAGAAAATAAAATGGAGGTATCTAAAACTTAGATAAGTAGAATTATTTCTGTAGATGATATGCATTTAGAAAACCCTAAAGACGCCACTCAAAGAAATCTACTGTTAGAACTAATAAATTTAGTAAGGTTGTGCAGTAGTATACAAACAAATATACTTAGTCTTTTTAGTTAGTTTTTACTGCCCAAATTAGGGAAAATTTTTCTACTTATAAAACATACTTGTTGGGTCTCTGCTCAGAGAAAACAGATACCGTTTTTAATAAACAGCTTAAACAAAATAGGCACTTTTGTTTTGTTAAGAGAAAAAAAATTGTTCTTAAAACAAAGGGTTAACTTGTCTTCTTATTCCAATGAGGCACAGCATGAACAAGGAACAGTGGCTTTGATTCAATGTAATTCTTCATACTTAACACATATAAACAGAATTCCTCCTTCTTTGGGCCTTCTTCAAATGTTACCTTAGACTGAGCATTCAAGAAAATGAGTGCTTACTTCAAGGAAAGGGAAGAGAAGAATTTTCTGACTTCAGCCACTTTATTTTAACTTTTGGTGATTCATACACTCGTTCTTAACATTTCAGCACCTGCGTGAGAGGATAAACAGATCCACAAACCATATGTCCACACCCTAAAGATTCTAAATCAGACCAGCTGTTACATAAACTATGTCATAATGATAGAAATAATGTGATGGAATCCAGGGTTCAGTAAAATTAGCAAAATGGTAAAGTTGACTAAATTGAGTTTGTATTGGTAGCAAATGCCTTAGTATTTTATTGATGGACCAGTGATATTTAGATAAAATATATACATATTTCAATAATGTTTATATATAGTATCTGTAAGATACACATGTATCTGTAAGATATAGCTTTCAGTTTATTTTAGCAAAGTTATCATGTTCATTGTATAAATATTTTTTATAATTTAAATGTTTTTTTAATTTAAGTGCTATTCATAGACATGCAAATTTAAAGCAAAATATACTTGAGCTCAACCGTATTATATTCATGTGTATGAATGTATGAAATTGTTTATATGTTGTCAAAAGTATAGCTTAGAGTAAATGTAAAATTTCAGAATTAATTTATTGTGTACACTTAAAAAATAATTTTATGGTCAGAGTGATAGTACAGTGGGTAGGACATTTGTCTTGCACGAGGCCGACCCAGGTTCAATCCCCAGCATCCCAAATTACCCCAAGCACCGCCAGGAGTAATTCCTGAGTGCAGAGCCCGGAGTAATCCCTGAGCATTGCTGGGTGTGACTCTAGAAGCAAAAAATAATAATAATTTTATCAACAATTAGTCAAGATTTATTGAAAGAGGTAAAGTACAAATTGCAATTAATATTAATTACAGTTTTAAAATAAAACTGAAATTGAAGGCTTTCTTATTATTTCCTTAGGGCCATGGCCAGTTGTGCTCAAGACTTACTTACTCCTGCCTTTGCACTGAGGGATCACCCCTGGCAGGGATCAGTGAACTATATGTGGTGCTGGGGTTTGAACCCAGGTTGACTGCATGGAAAGGAAGTGCCTTATCCGCTGTACTCTCTGGCCTCAAAGTTTTTTTTATTTGATTATATTTTATAAATATAAGACTAACCATACCTCCAGTGTTAAAATTTCATCCTTTCATTATCCACACAGATTGTTCACATTTTAATAAATTAGGGGGCCACAACCAACAGTGTTCAGGGGATACTTATGGCTCTACTTGAATTGTTGGTGGTGCTTAGGGAGTCATGAGATATTAAGGATTTAACCAGAGTTGGCTGCATGTAATTCACATGCTCAGTTCTATACTATCTCTCTGAAGCAGTATTATAAAGTTGGCTTGGGAGAGAGAGATGCAGAAAACACGTAGGCGACTGAGATTTAATCTCTCCAATACCACCTGGTCTTCTGAGCACTGACCTAAGCCTCTAAGGACCCCAGCATGGATCAAAAACAAATAAACCCTACAAAATTATGAGTAATAAAAAGTTCTCATGAAATTGTAAAATGTTCTTCAAAATTCTTCACAATACCCTGTCTCTATTACAAATACAGTATTCATTGTGAGTGCTGCCAGAATCGTAGCCTTCTATCAAAAGAGAAATAATAACTATAATATGACTCATCACACTCATTAGAGGAAAAGTTTAAGAAGGTAATGCTTAAGACTACTTTCAGGTATCATTGTATAGTTTGTTACTAGAGAAGTTTCTCTGATCATGAAAAACACCTGAAACCACGATGAGGAGCCAGATCATCCTCTCCTGAGCAAGAAGCCATTTCTAGGTGCTACTTTTGCAACCGCCGTTTACTATTGATGATCGTTCTTCTCTTTCTTTGGAAGAAGGGGAGAGAGAGAGAGAGAGAGAGAGAGAGAGAGAGAGAGAGAGAGAGAGAGAGAGAGAGAGAGAGACAGACAGACAGAGACAGAGACAGAGACAGAGAGAGACAGAGAGAGACAGAGAATGTGGTCTGAGTGGTTGGGGGTGGGGGTGGGGAGAAGAGCAGGTAAAACTTATCCTTTCTCTTACCTAAGCAGAGTTTCCTCAAATTCTCTTCTGCTCTGAAGCAGTTTCTGTTTTGACCTTTATACAGAGAAATCTGAAATCTTCAACAGCTTTCAAGCATTTCATGCACATGTTTGTTTTTGTCCTTCCTTCCTTCCTTCCTTCCTTCCTTCTTTCCTTCCTTCCTTCCTTCCTTCCTTCCTCCCTCCCTCCCTCCCTCCCTTCCTTTCTTCCTTCCTTCCTTCCTCCCTCCCTCCCCTTGCTCTCAGATACTAAGACAAGAAATAAGAATAATGATCTTAATTAAGACACATAGAGTTTAGGGTTCTGTGTAGCATGTAGAGCTGAGTATATCATGCTGAATTGTGACAGAGTTGCTCTTGTGTTTTATAATACATTTTATGCATATGTTTGTGAGTCTATGTGTGTTTGTGAATGCTATTTAAAATCTCTAAAAAGTTCTTGGTGAGAAATATTACAGGTAATGACCATTCAAAGAGCAAGAGAGATTTTTGTTCATTTTTGAATCACAATACACAGGATTTTACTTAGGGCAAAAGACACTTGATAAGCACAATTCAAGAGAAACTTTTGGAAGTGTTGCCATATTTATTATTAAAGTCACAGGTTATTCAATTTTTTAAATTTTAATTTTTTTGCTTTTTGGATCACACCCAGCAATGCCCGGGGTCACTCCTGGCTCTTCACTCAGGAATCACTCCTGGAAGTGCTTGGGGAACCACATGGGATGCCAGGATGAAACCCAGGTCCACATAGTGCAAAGCAAACACCTTACCCGCTGTGCTATCTCTCTGGCCTCAGTTATTCGATTTTAGATCATCTCAGTAACATGTTCGTTCAGACCAGGACAGACCCAAGTATTTTACTCTGAAACTCAGTTCTTGTCAATATGTTCTATGGGTAGCCTATCACAGTTTAGTTTGAGAACTGTTGTAAACTGGCATTCTTAGATTTTCTGAACTGTATATTATGTAGATTTACATCGTTTCTTTTCTTTCTTAATTTGTACTGATTTATTTTATCTATAGCTTATGTCTCAGGAGGAAAAAGAAATGGAGTAGTTGTTGGAGGTTATAGACCTTATTCTGAGATCAGTTCAATTGTCAATGACTTCCCTGAATGTCTTCAAAAACCTCTTAAAAATGGAACCTCAAGAAACTGAACATAAATAATGAGCTAGTAAAGTACACACTGAAGAAGGAATAGGAAGAACTGAGTTCTTTAATTAATTGTAGTGACTTGACTTCTTGAGAACTTCAGATTCCTTATCTGTTAAATTAAGAACTTTGTGACTGCAGCCTTTGACTAAGTGATCTTTGTTGAAATGGCTCATTAAAAACAATGAAAAAATTGCCTAACAAAAAAGTCTGACTACTGTAACCAAGGGTATCACCCTTTGTAAACAATACAATCAAGTTATGTATGACTTCTGATAATTGTAACACAAAGAGAAGAATGGGAGGAGAGAATTAATTAAATTTTTATTTTCAAAATGTGCCTGAAGGAAAAGATGAAAACATGTGCTTGAAAACCACTTATTTACCAATTTCCATGTGAGATGTTGAGTCTTCAAAGAAGCCAGAGTATCTACTTTAAGAAGAATGCAAACAAGTCATTTTTGTAGAATGAGATCATTGGCATTACTGAGCATTTTTCAAGATACTTGATAAAACACAAAGAACAGAAGAGTTCCTGCTGAAGAAAAGGGGTGAGGGAGAGTTAGAAAAACCCTTCAAGTGAAAGGATCCTTAGGAAGACCACAACGATTATTTTTAGCTCTATGTTTCCCAGTAATACAGGAACTTTTTGGGTAGTAGCTTTTGATGAGTTTACTCTTTTCAGCAATGAATATGACACTAATGATTGCAGTTACTATGGAAAATGAGCCAGTGAGCATCAGACTTTGCTGTGGGCCAGCTACATTTGATTCATGTGCTTTTCTATGTCAGTAGATGATTCAGGTTTCAAATGGTGCATCATTTTTCCTGCAGTGGACCCAGGGGAGAATATACCATTGAGCAGAGGCTTAGAGATGGATTTAGAGGCACATTGCTCAAGCTTTTAGATTACTTGTCTCATTAGTACTGGCAAGTCTGGTTAGAGGTAGAGGAAGGAAGGGGGGAACCAGAGATGTTTGGTATGCAAATCATTTTATATTCATAGACTCAAGGTCCTATGAGAAAAAAATTCCCATTCCTGCTTATCAATCATTTTGCCCAATTCAATATTGAGGCTAAATAGGGCAAGTCCTCAAAAAATATTCTATGCCTCAATAAATAGTTACTAAATGTCTTCTATGTAACTGACATTATTCAAAACCTCTTAATAAGTATTTGTGGAATAACTGAAATTAATTTAACTAATCAAATGCCAAAGAACAACCAAATAATTTATATGAATATTTTGTTTCATGAAATAGAAACAAACATTGATTAACCTCTAACCACAATTTATACCAATGCATCCCTTCCTGAGTAATTTAAAAATGCCATCCAAGGAACTAATGACTTCTGTCTCTGTAAAATATTTACTTGTTATGTAAAAGAGGAAGAGAAGAGTGTTTTTTCTTGGATACTCTTTCAGTTTTTTTTTAGTAAACTTTATGACTTTTATCAATGGAAGGGAGATTTTAGCTCCACTAGATTTCAGGAATCTTATGAACTGCCTTGCATGTTCCTTCTTCACGTTAACTTGGTCTTCAAAAAATGGAATAAAATAAGGCACCTCTAGATCATCAGTGTAAACAAAGGCCATTGATAAATAGGCATCACTGATATTCAGCTGAAAAGATGTTATGTGATTGAGAGCAAGCCTGGACTCTTCAGATAAGGAGCTCCTTGAAGCCATGTCGGAATTAGGCAAAACAAGGCCTAAATGATCAAGTACGACATCATTGGTCTGACCGAGACAAGAAGACACGAATCTCACCATGCCGTTTTCGACACTGGAGAAGAATTGTTCCCCGGAACATGCGATAAAAGAGGTGTTGGAGGCGTCGGTGTCCTTGTCAACACAAACTTGGCCAAGAGCATTGATTCATTCGAATGCCTAACAACCCGAATCGGACGTTTACATTTGAATAGATGTGGCTCACTGCCTGCAGTTTCTATCTTCGTTGTCTACGCACCAACATCTCATTATGATGAAAGAGAAATCGAGAAGTTCTACATGGAGCTAGAGAAGTTCTATAAAGAAGACCACACCTTCTACAAGATCATTGTGGGTGATTTTAATGCCAAGATAGGACCGAAAAGATCAGCTGAAGAACTTCACATCGGGACCCATGGCCTAGAATGGAACGAACAGGGTGAGAGACTGAGTTCATCATGTCGACCAAGACCATTCATGGTAACTCACAGTTCCAGAAGGCAGAATCTAAACGATGGACATGGGAGTCTCCCGGTGGACGATTCCACAACGAAATAGACCACATCATATTCAATCGACGGTTTTGCCTGACTGATGTCGCTGTTGTCCCAAAATTTCGAACGGGATCGGACCACCGTCTCCTTCGTGCAAAATTCTACTTCACAGAGCGGGGAGAAAGGGCTGCAAAGTTCAAAAAGAGAACTCCCAGAACGACCACCAACTGGGAACTCTTTGGTACTATTGTGGCAACATGGGAAGATGCCATTGTTGACAACATTGACGAGGAATACGATCGACTGGTTCAGCACCTCCATGAATGTGCGAGGAACGCCAAGAGAGAGATAGCCACAAAAAGTCGCCTATCTTCGAAAACTCTTGAGCTAATTCGCCAGCGTGGTTTGGCGCATGCCTCAGGCAACCGCAAGCTAACGTCCGAGCTTGCAAAGCAGTGCAGAGATGCGATCAAGGAAGACCTCAAAGAGAGAAGAGCAGAAGTACTGGTAGATGCGGCAGAAGCCGGGAAAAGTATTCGTAACGCCCGCCTGTCCTTCGCCAACTATAAGACCAAGATGACTGCCCTCCGACGTCCTGATGGATCCATCACATCCTCCAGAACGGCAATGGAGAAGATTATCCATGACTTCTACTCAAATCTCTTCGATAGCCATGTCCACTTGCCGACATACCAAATTCCACAGGATGGGTATGTCGTTCCCAACGTTCTCCCTTCCGAAATCCGACACGCCATTTCGTCAGTAAAGAAGCAAAGAGCACCCGGCCCAGACAAGGTCAGACCTGAACACCTGAAGAACCTGCCGTCAGTACTCATCAATACACTGGCTCGGCTCTTCACTCGCTACCTGTCTGAATGCAAGGTTCCGTCCCAATGGAAAACCAGCAGGACCGTACTACTGTTCAAGAAGGGAGACATCCATGACATTGGCAACTATCGCCCGATCTGCCTATTGTCTGTCATCTACAAGTTGTTCACTCGAGTCATCCTGAATAGGATTGGCAGAACACTAGATGAAGGACAACCATGTGAGCAAGCAGGGTTCCGCAAAGGATTCAGCACCATCGACCATATCCACACGATAACCAAACTCATTGAGGTTTCTCGGGAGTTCAAGATGCCGCTCTGCTTAACGTTCATTGATTTAAAGAAGGCCTTTGATTCTGTTGAGACGGAAGCGGTCATTGAAGCCCTAGCCAATCAGGGCATTCAAGCCCAATACATCAGGATCCTCCGTGAGCTGTATTGCGGATTCACTACCAGGATCTCACCATTCTACAAAGAAGTGATCGTTGATGTCAAGAGAGGGGTGCGGCAGGGTGATACCATTTCACCAAAACTCTTCAGTGCCACCCTCGAGAACATCATGCGACGACTGGAATGGGAAGGAATGGGAGTGAAGATAGATGGTCGGCAACTACACCACCTCCGCTTTGCTGATGACATTGTTTTAATAAC